ACCTTGCCGCCGGGACCTCCGATGAACTCCTCATGGGGACACGAAGCGTCTGAGGGGCGTGCCGACATGGGCTGGGCGGCGCACTAAGGACCCTGCCGATGGGGCCTTCGGTGGAGCACCTCACAAGGCCACGAGACTTGCGGGGGATGTGGCGAAGCAGAGACGCGGGGGAACAAGGGGGGTGTTTTGATGATGTTGATGAGGATGGTGGTGGTATTGATGATGGAGACGACGAGAATGATGATGATGCTGATGATGATGGTGATGGCGACGATGACGATGGACGATGACGACGGGGACACGCGGGGAGCAGGGGCAGATACGCGAAGAGGGAGGACGAGGGAGGGGGCCGGAAGGAATGACGCGGGGCGGTGTATCTTCAAAACGAAGAACCAACACTGCAATATGGTAGGAAATTTCTGGACGACCCCCCCCCGTGGCGCGGTCAATGTCCGCGACAGCATCGCTGGCACTACGAACCAAATCTCCGAACTCTTCCTGCGACGTTACCCGCGGGGTGGATCAGCCAGGGATGGGGGGCGAAACCGCCCCAGCGCAAAGCAAATGTACAATCCTGAGAAACCTCAGCCCACGTCAACCGATCCGCAGTAAGCACGCAAGCCTTTGACGACCACAACGCACGTGACGTCGCATAACGCGACGCGCCATCGAAAACGTTCGACGCGCGCCTCGGAATGACATCGGGCTTCATGGAACGTCGAATGGAAAACATGAAAAACCGCCCTGTGGGCTCCGAGACCCAAAACTACTGATGTGAAGGATTTCGGGTCGTCGACCAGAACTCCATTCCTGGGCATGATTTTGAATGCCCGGAGCCAACTGTAGGCCACTTCGTGGTCTTCGAGTTCCCAGAACTCCACTTCTGGGCATGATTTTGAATGCCCGGAGCCAACCGTAGGCCACTTCGTGGTCTTCGAGTTCCCAGAACTCCACTCCTGGGCATGATGTTGAATGCCCGGAGCCAACTGTAGGCCACTTCGTGTTCTTCGAGTTCCCAGAACGTCATTCCCGGGCCACATTTTGAATGCTGAGGCAGGCTGACGCTGAGGCTGAGGCAGGCTGACGCTGATGCAGGCTGAGGCTGAGGCCGAGGCTGAAGGCACACTGAGGCTGAGGGCAGGCTGAGGCTGAGGCTGAGGCAGGCTGATGCTGAGGCTGAGGCTGAGGCTGAGGCTGAGGCTGATGCAGGCTGAGGCTGAGGCAGGCTGAGGCTGAGGCCGAGGCTGAAGGCAGACTGAGGCTGAGGCTGAAGCAGGCTGGCTGAGGCTGAGGCAGGCTGAGGCTGAGGCTGAGGCAGGCTGATGCTGAGGCAGGCTGAGGCTGAGGCTGAGGCTGATGCAGGCTGAGGCTGAGGCAGGCTGAGGCTGAGGCCGAGGCTGAAGGCAGACTGAGGCTGAGGCTGAGGCTGAGGCTGAGGCTGAGGCAGAGGCTGAGGCTGAGGCTGGGCAGGCTGAGGCTGAGGCTGAGGCTGCAGGCTGCTGAGGCAGGCTGAGGCTGAGGCCGAGGCTGATGCAGCTGAGGCTGCAGGCTGAGGCTGAGGCCGAGGCTGAAGGGCTGAGGCTGAGGCTGAAGCAGGCTGAGGCTGAGGCAGGCAGGCTGAGGCTGAGGCTGAGGCTGAAGCAGGCTGAGGCTGAGGCTGAGGCAGGCTGAGGCTGAGGCAGGCTGAGGCTGAGGCTGAGGCAGGCTGAGGCTGAGGCTGTGACTGCGACTGCCGTTGCCACTGCGACTGTCATCGCGAATGCGACTGCGACTGCGAGAACAGCGGAATTCTACAACTGGATTCTCATCTGAATATTCAAGGGGAATGCTTCCGGATATGCTCCTACACATCGCTGTTAGGTTGCTTTGCCGGGATAGTTCCAAGCAAGTATACGAAGTCCGAGGGAACACCAGGGGGAACGGCCGAGCCCCTTTTGAAAAGCAAGACCCTGTAAGACTCGGTTTCGGGGACCTCGGGTTGGCCTGACGGGGCCATCGCGAAAATGATGAGACCCAACCTGAAATCTGCCGCGAGCTCCCGCGGTTGGCATCCCACGAAGACCAGACCGAAAAATCCAGGACGTGCTCGACAAGAAGCGCAGAAAAAGCAGAGTTCAAGCGTATACTTGAGTCGAACGTCCCCCCGACACAGGGTCGGCAGCGAGCCCAGGGGGGAAGTGAGAAGGAGACAGCCTTCTCAGACGGCTCGGAAATCCATGGCCCTTCTGAGAAGTGTTCTGAGTCTTCCCCGAAGACACAACTACTCCTCACTTCCTCACTCACTCCTAGGGGGACCAAGAAGTACCGACACAACTGCTGACTGGACCTCTCCCGGGTTGCGTCCTGACCAGCGTTTCGAGGCGAATCCAGCGGTGGTGACGAGGTCCTCCCAGGCGGCCCACCAAGGGGGAAACGAAGGCCCTCGCTCGCCGTCGAAGCGGAGCCCTGGAAATCCGCCTTCCCCGCCGAAGCCGCTGGCGACGACCCCGGCGCGCCCGCGGGCGCCCCCGGGGCCGCGGGCGCGGCCGCGGCCGCGCCGCGCCCCGCGGGAGCCTCGCCGTCGGTGGCCAGGGCCCAGACCTCGAGGGGGGCCCGAGCACCGCAGCCGACCCGCAGAAAGCCGAGGCCGGAAAGGAAGCAAAAGCCTTCCCGTCGCGAGTTCCTCCTCCTCCTCCTCCTCCGCCTCCTCCTCCTCCTCCTCCTCCTCCCTCCTCCTCCTCCTCCCCCCTCTCCTCCTCCTCCTCCCACTCCTCCTCCGCCTCCTCCTCCTCCTCCTCCTTCCTTCTTCCCTCCCCCTCCTCCCCTTCCTCCTCCTCCTCCTCCTCCTCCTCCCCTCCCTCCTCCTCCTCCTCCTCCTCCTCCTCCCCCTCCCCCTCCCCCCCCCTCCTCCTCCCTCCTCCTCCTCCTCCTCCTCCTCCACCTCCTCCTCCTCCTCCTCCCCTCCTCCTCCTCCTCCTCCCTCCTCCTCCTCCTCTCCTCCTCCTCCTACCTCCTCTCCTCCTCCTCTCCTCCTCCATCCCCTCCCTCCTCCTCCTCCTCCCTCCTCCTCCTCCTCCTCCTCCTCCTCCTCCTCCTCCTCCTCCTCCTCCTCCTCCTCCTCCTCCTCCTCCTCCCCCCCCGCTCCTCCTCCTCCTCCTCCTCCTCCTCCCCCTCCTCCCCCTCCCCTCCTCCTCCTCCTCCTCCTCCTCCTCCTCCTCCTCCTCCTCCTCCTCCTCCTCCTCCTCCTCCCCGTCGCGAGTTCTGCCACGGCTCGTGCGGGTGTGCCTGAGCGGGTCGCCCCCCCCGTTGCTCTCGGGTTGGCCACAAGAGGGGGGCGTGCACGAGGGGTGGGGGGTGGGGCGCAAGCCGCCATGGCCGGCGGCATGTGCGCGGGGCCCCAGGGGAGGGGGGGGGGGCAGGCACAGGGAGGGGGGGGGCCAGGGGAGGGTAGGCCCAGGGGGAGGGGGAGTGAGGGGGGGACCCAAAGGAGGGGAGGGGGGAGCCAGGGAGAGAATGAGACCAGAAGATGCGCCACGACATCAGGGGAGGCATCGTGGCCCCCGCCCTGACAGCGCTCCGAAGAGAACCCCAAGAAGCATCCCTGAGAACTGCGATCCACAACCCAGGCACGGTGGCGGGATGGGCCGAAGGCCATTCGATAACTTCGGCACTGGTCTCCGACACAGCGCGTCTCTTCTTGAGACATCCCCCGCCCATTTGGCCACCCCCGAGTGGCGCGCCCTCCGAGCGTCCAGCAAGACGCGGCGGCTGGGTGTTCCGCGTTTTCTCGGCCTCTGGAGGCCGCCTCCTGGCCCCCCAGAGCGCGGCAGACAGCGCTCGGGGGGAGGCACCTCTGCCCTCGGGGGGAAAGGCTGGAAGGGGCCCAGGGACACACAAGTAAATAGACACAGATCCCAGAATCCCCCACATGTCCTAATGTTTTCTTGTTTTTTCGTCTCCCCCCCCACCTGCCATAATCTCCCACTATTTTCCCGAGAACCGACGATTCATTCTGTCCGTCTGTTTTTTCCCCTCCTGAAGGTTAGGATTTTCCAGGAGCCCCATGCTGAGAAGAACGCAGCGTCGGATGCACGGGGCCTACGAGGCCAGCAAGGAGAGTTCAGGTTCGTGGACCAAGGGCGTTATATCTCCAGCCCTTTTGCTTGGGCCAACATGGGTACGGGATCTGGGAGATGATGTTTGACGAATCGCACCCAAGCCTCCTGCGCCTAGTGCTGGCCAGCTTTTTCTCATGTTCGACGTCAAAACGCCTGGCTTTCTGACCCTGGGACTTCGCAACAAATGGAGGGTTCCACAAACCCTGAACCCCAACAAGTTGTCATTTTTGGGCACGCATCTTTTGCTTCCGCCGCCTTCAACAGGCCTTCCGCCTGCTTCTGCCAGCGGAGCCGTCCCCGTTTTTATGCCCGCCGGCTTCTGGCGACCTTCTGCCGCCTTACGCCGAGACGAGATGCCCACTCCTTGGACTCTCGCAGGCGAGGCCCTTTCTAGAGCGCCCCAAATGACCCAGGACAGAAAGACAATTCCCAAGAAGGGGTCGAGAGTTTAGGTGGCCCACGCATCGACCAAAATCACAAATGCGGGGGCCTCCAGAAGCCGCTGTGGACATCCGGGGGATTCTGGAGGCATCTGGGGATCTCCAGAGACATCAGTACTTGTGTGTGCGCCTGTCCTGCCCCTTCCTGTGCCTCGTGAGCGACCAGGTGCTAGAAGAACAAGGAAAGTGCTTGCGACTGTCTGCTTTCCCCTCTCCCCGAAGGCCGCCACGAACAGCGGCACCGCGCCGGTCACCAGGTTCGCCGGCAGCCACATGCTCCCGCCCAGCAGCCCCCCAGTGGCGGCGCCGACGAGCGAGCCGAGGTTGAAGGAGACGCCCACGAGCGCGAAGTTGAAGTTCCGCCGGGCGGGCTCGATGTGTGCGGACACCTCCGCCACGTAGGAGATGCCGAGTGCCACTGGGGCCGCGAAGCCCGCCAGCACCCGAAGGGCGATCAACGCGCTCACGTCTTTGGTGAGGCCAGTCGCCGCAAACAGGATGTCCGCAGAAGTCGCTCACACACACCACCACCAGGCCTGGCAGGTAGCGGCCACCCTGGGCACCAGGACGGTGAATAGACCCTTCTCACCTGGGCCAGCATGCCAGGGCTCAAGAAGCAGACATCCGACGTCTTGTTTTTCCCCACCATCCTGAGGTGTTGGGCCCTCGTTTTGAAAAGACAGCGCCCCGCGTTCACTCCTTCTTTCCTCCTCCCCCTCCTCCCTCCTCCAATCCCTGCTTCTGCTGTCCGCACCAATCAATCAGTCCTTTCTTCCTCCTCCCCCTCCTCCTCCTCCTCCTCCCTGCTCCCATCCTTACCTCTGCTCTTCGCATCAGTCTAAACGTTTCGGCACACCCCTCACACGCTTCGTGGTTCCATAGGGAACTTCACCGAAGGTCCCAATGGCGCAGTTCGCATGTGGGCGTCACGCCCGTTTTGGCGCACTACTCACACCTTTCGTGGCCCCATAGGGAGCTCCAGCGAAGGTCCCAGAGCTGCAGCTCGCAGGTGGGCGTCACGCCCGTTTCGGCACACCCCTCACACGCTTCGTGGCCCCATAGGGAGCTCCACCGAAGATCCCAGTGCTGCAATTCACATGTGGGCGTCACGCCCGTTTCGGCACACCCCTCGCACCTTTCGTGGCCCCGTCGGGAGCTTCACCGAAGGTCCCAATGGCGCAGTTCGCATGTGGGCGTCACGCCTGGTTCGGCACACCCCTCACAAGTTTCGTGGCCATATAGGGAGCTCCACCGAAGGTCCCAGCGGGAGGACTTCCATGCGACACCCCCTGGCCAAACCGGCACGCCCCTCGCACGATTTGTGGCCCCATAGGGTGTTTCACCGAAGACGACCCTCACACCTGCGGCACTCGCAATTGCATATGGTTGGCTACCTCGTCAGGCTCACTTCTTCAACACGAGATCCCTGGGAGGTCCCGACCCTTCCCCCAAAACTGGCTTCTCATATGCCGAGCCGTTCCTGCCTGTCGCAGAGACAAGGCAAGGGCCCCATCGGAGGCCGCAATCGGCCAAATAGCTTCCGTCGGTCGCGAGCATGCATGTCTGAGGAGGGCCCCGGCAAGGCGTGGTGGCTGTGCGCGGGTGGCCTCTGCGGAGGATGGCGTCAAAGATCATCACGAGGAAGATCATGAGCCGGCGCCCGAAGCGGTCCGCCAGCGCCGCGACGGCGAGCTGCCCGGCGACCACGGACAGGTACTGCGCCGTGAGGATGTTGCCGACCGCCTGGCTGCCCACGATGCTCGGCAGGATCGGGGCGATCATGCTGAGGCCGATGAAGTCCACGAGGATCGCGGAGCACCTCGCTCGGAGGCGAGCCCAGGGAGGAAGGCAGATGGGGGCGGGGCTTCTCGGAAGGCTCACGAGGTCTCCAGCCTTCTGAGAAGCTTTCTCTAAGACGTCTCCGACGACGTAGACGGTTTCCCATTGCGTGCGAGGCCGCGGTCCTTGAGGAGCCGAGAACGCTACAAACATGCGGTCAGGCTGCTGTTCTAAGGAACGATAGATAAGGAACGAAGCCCCTTTTGTTCAAAAGAAAACCATGAAGTCCGAAAGAACGGCCGAGCTGGGGAAACCAAAAGGTACCCATACCGTTACTCCCCGGACCTCTCCCAGGGTGCGTTCTGACCAGAGTTTCGAGGCGAATCCGGCGGTGGCGACGAGGGCCGCCAAGGAGGTCCCAAAAAGGGGCAACTAGGGATGGGTAGCGGTATGGGTACCTAGTCCTCCTCCGAGGAAAGGCCGAGCCCCCTCTGAAAAGTGAGTGAGCGTTCCTTAGTCAACAGCCCGACTGTAGGCAGTCGCAACTACCCACGCGAGCCTCTCGGGCAGATGATGCAGCGGGCGGGCGTAGAAACCGGACGGCCAAAGGGGCTGGCCTTGTCAGCACTGGGAGGGGAGCGGGTAAAGCAAGAGTTGAGGACAGGGTGACAGCTCAGGAATGAGGAAGAAGGGAGCCGCCCACGGGTCGTTGTACGCTGCATTCCTAAATCCCACCAGCCCTCCAAACGCAGGTGGCCAGGTGGTTTGGGGGATCAGCTCTGACCGAGCAGACCCGTTTCGAGGAGGGGGGCACCCGTCCCCCTACTCGTGGGCGATGAGAACGTTCATGTCCATTGGTTTCGCGGTCCAGTCCATTCTCCTCGGCCGCGACCCCGTGTGCACTGTCGGGCGGCTTTGCGCGGATGCCCCGCGCGGAACGCATCGGCAACACCGCACAATCACCCAAGGGATCGCGCCTCGGTGCTGTCCGCACCGCGAGGACACGGAAACGGATAACATTATCCGAGGTCCGATGTCTCGATATCTGCTCAATCCGGGATGCCCAGACGTGCCGGCCCGTTCCCCCGAGGCCGGCACTTCATCCCGACAAGATCACTCCAGTGCGTTAATCGACGGCCCTGAAGCCGCCCAAGACTGGCCTCCAGGACAACCGAAGGGGCCCCAGGACACACAAACAAATACACACAAATAAAAAGATTTCCCATATTTTCTTATAATTTCTGGGTTTTTGTCTTCCCCCCCACTTCCCATGTTTTCCCATGTTTTCTGGGGAATCGAGGATTAATTGTGTTTGTGTGTTCTTCCCTCCAGGACAACCCTGGCCTCGATGCTCAGTCTCAAACGGGCGTCGGAGGCCTGTCCCGAAGGATCACGGCAGGAGCCCTCGACCCCATCGTTCTGGTTGACTTTCCAGCCAAACCGACCTGCGGTGGCCCACGGGCCCGAAAACGGGCGAACACGCCTGGCGTGAAAGAATCGCGCCCATGACTCACGCTTGGCGTTGGAAGGTAGCGTGCAGCATCGATCTCCGAAGAATGCCATCCCTGTGAGGCGACCCCCCTGCGAGGGCCCGTCTGTGCACACCATCCCCTCGCCAGGGCTTCTTGGGTGAACGCTATCCACCAAAATTAGGGATAGCGAGCAAGAAGACGCCACTTGTTATGATCCGAGATCTCGCCCGCGACCGCCCCCCCCCCCCCAATGCCGCCCCCGGTCACGTGACAATTCGTGCCTGGCGCCGTCTGGAAATTAGCCATCCTTAAACACTCTCAGACGGCGCCGCCGCGAACCGTGGCGTGACAGGCCCGCGCCCTCCCCCGACGCCCGCTGCCGCCCGGGGGGGAAACAAAAAGGCCTCGAGCGGGCCCGCGGCTCCACGGCGCGCGCCGTCCCTCCAACGCCAACCAGAGCTTCCCGCGACTGCACGCAGAGAGCGACCCTGTGCGAGAGTGACCTCTGGTGCGTGGCTCGCACTACCGGGGGGCGCAGGGTGGCCAAGCCTGGGCGCGCAAGCCGCTGCCACCGCTTCGCGCTCGGCCGTCGGGGGACCCCGCTGGGCCCGCATCAACAAAACGCTCTGGCGAACGGGCACTCTTCCGTCCAGTCTGGGGAAACCAAAGGGCTCCAAATCCGCTACTCCCCGGACCTCTCCTGGGGTGCGTTTTGACCAGAATTTCGAGGCGACTTCAGCGGTGGCGACGAGGGGCGCCAAGGAGGCCCAAGAGGGGGACAACGAAGGAAGGGCAGCAATATGGGTACCTCTTCCTCCTCTGAATACGGCTGGTCGATTCCCGGGGCCCCTCCCCTCCGGACACGTCAGTTGTCGCCAAAGGGGAACGACGAAACAAATCGGGGATCTTCTGACCCGGGTCAACCCAGACCCGGGTCAGTCAGACCTTGCAGAATCCTGCAAGGTCTTGCACCCAAGCCCGGGTCAATGCGACGGATCCTGCAAGATCCTGCAGGATCCTGCATCCAAACCCAGGTCAGTGCGACCCTGGCCCTGCAGGATCCTGCAAGATCGGGCGCTCTGGCTGACCCCCGTTTGCATTGACCGCCGCCTCTTGAGCCCCGACCCGATCCCCTTTGGAACCCTCCAGTCTGGGGGCCTTCTGATTCGAGCCCAGGGGCCATCAGACGGCGAACTGGGAGTCACGCTTCGGACTTTTGTTTGTCGGGAGAGCGCTGCCACGGTGGCTGCTCTGGCCTCCAGAGGCCTCGCAGGGGGCACGCGAGGTCTCTCGGGCCGGGCGAAAGGGGGGGATAGCAAAGGGGGGGGGTGAGAATCAGCTCACGTAGCTGATTTTCCCAGCGCCTTCGGGCGCCGGGAGGCGCCCATGAATCGAAGAATGGGCCCGGCGGCGAGGCCGAAACCAGCTGCATGAGACTCCAGCTCCCGCACTTGCGATTGCCATGGACCGTACGAGTGTGAAGCCGTGAAGCATCAACGACGGCATCACTATCCACGACACGCACACACAACGACTCCGACAACAAGGACACCGAAACATGGACGGCGCTCGAGCACCACTACGTCGACCCCACAGTAGTAGACACCCAGAACAGAAGCCACTGACGCGAAGGCCCAGCGAGACATCCCACGCCGACACCGACACCAAGGCCTTCCTGGGCCTTCCTCCTCTTCCTCCCCCCTTCCTTTCTTCCCACACAGGCTGACACGACCGACCCCAAGGACCATCCTCCCCCCGTCCCTCCTCCTGATTGCTTTTCCAATGTGTCTCGCATTGCATGTTGTCCAGACACGCCAGATTCCCGAGACCACGGCCTCGCCCACCCCGCCTTGAGTGGGCCCGGACGCTGTCCGCAACGGTGGTCGCATCGCATCGCGCCCCTTTCGTCCGGCCCAAGTCTCTCAGCGAGGATTTTTCCTTTTGCGCCCCGAACGGAAACGGTACACGGCTGATTTTCCCGGCGCCTCCCGGCGCCCATGTATCGAGGAATGGGCCCGGCGGCGAGGCCGAAACCAGCTGCATGCAGCAGACTTCGTAACCCCCGCTCTCCCAATCCCCCCCCCTCTCGTCCGGCCCGAGCCTCTCGCCGAGGATCTGTCCTCTTGCGCCCCGAACGAACACTAGGGTGAAAACAAACCTACCTCGCTGTTGACCACCCTCGCCTCCAAAAGATACCAAACGATGCCAAACTACGGCCTGTACTGGTCAGGCCGCTTGACGAGGAGGCGCGTGATATGACTTGGTTTTGCCTGGAAGCGAAAGCGGGGTAGGCAATTCACGCTCCGAAAAACGGCACACGGGCCCCGGCCCTTCGCCGCCCGCGGGAGGAGGCGCCCGAGGAGCGGCGAGGGCCGGAGCCGCGGCAGGGCGGCGGGGCAGAGGCCCCGCGCGGGGCGCCCCTCCTGAGGAAGCCGAGGAAAATGCCGATATACCATGGAGGGCTGCCTCCTACTCCTCCTCCTCCTCCTCCTCCTCCTCTTGCTCCTCCTCCTCCCGTTTTTCCTTCTCCTCCTCCTCCTGTTCCTCCTCCTCCTCCTCCTCCTCCTGTTCCTCCTCCTCCTCCTGTTTTTCCTCCTCCTCCTCCTGCTCCTCCTGTTCCTCCTCCTCCTCCTCCTCCTGTTTTCCCTCCTCCTCCTCCTGCTCCTCCTCCTCTGCCTCTTCCAAGCCAGGAAGATTGCCTTCTTTGGTGAGCGTTTTCTTATTCGGCGGTGCGGCAGCGGGCGAAAGGGGGGGTGGAGGGGGGGGTCTGGCAAGCTCCAGGCCTCTGCCTGGTGCGACTGCTTGCACCAGGGCGTCCATTGTGGGGGAGGCTCCACTGGCTCGAAACATGCGCCAAAAAAGCCAAGATCTACTCTGGGGGGGGGGGCCCCGCGCCGATCGGCAAAACAAGGAATAAAAAGAAACGATCACTATTTGAAGGGGAAACAACTGGACAAAATAAACTGTTCCGTCCCAGGGCGGCCGGAAGGTCTGTACCCCTCTGGCGGCACTTCAGGGTACAAACTTTCCAGCCGCCCTGGGACAGGCAGCCCCCGTGACGGATAAATTTATGTTAGACCGTTCTTCGCCCGCTGATTGACGAGGGTCGGGTGGGATGGTCGCCCTCTCTGATACCATCTCCCAGTCGATTCCAGGTTAATCGAACCAGGCGAGGGGGTGCGGCAACGCCACATCCGCCTCTCGCAGAGATATCTCGAGCTACCAATGCCAGACCTCTCTCGAGCTGATCTCTATCCCTAAGACTGACAAGCCGAAAGGCGATGACAATCTTCGGGATGCGTCCTCATAAACTGAGGGAATCCTCGAGATCGGCATCGAAGACTAAATGGTGCCAATCATGGGGATGGGGATGCGCTGCAGTCTGATAAATACCGCTGCTCCCCAGATCGCCAGGGGGAACCCAAAAACTGTCTCGCAGCAGTATCGATACCATTTCTTGGCGGCGCGCACAATGGGGATGGGGGAGGGGGGACGGCTTCTTAGAAGGAAGCAGAGGTGCTTCAATAGAGAAATCTTTCAGAACTTTTGTCGGTCCGCGCGGATTTCTTGGATCTGCGCTGGAACCCCCTCCTTGGCGCGTGGAGCGCGCCAGGGGCGGTGCCGGAGGCGCCGCCAGGGGGCTCCCGCGCCGATCCAAAGAATCCTCGCGGAGTTTCGACAATTTATGCGTATGCCGATTTCTCTTCTCCGATTTCCTCCCCCCTATTAAAGGAGCCCAGAATAGACGTACGCGCCGAACGACGTACATGGACACGGCCCCCCCAATCCGCGAGACCGGCCGCGTGATACGAACATTGGCGCAATGCGTACTCTCGAAACCAACGAGGATTCATGTACGTGTACGTCTTTCTCTCGCTCCTGACTACCCCCCTCTGCGCGCGGCTGACGTTCCCTTGTCATCGCTCGGACCTCATTCCCCGTGCTTTTGTTGGCTCCGCGCGCTTATTCTTCGCAAGATTATCAAGGATGCTCCTTGAGATTATCCAGGATGCTCCTTGATAGTCTTCGCCGAGACAAAATTCGAAGTCTCCAAGATGGGGTCGGAGTAGATGGTGTCAGAGGATAGCGTCGCATCGCCGATACATCGGCGATGCACCGGCGATGCATGGGAAATGCATCGGCGACGTCGGCGATGCACCGCCGACGCCAGCATGGAGAAAATCGGGCTCCACATCGAGCTGCATCGCCGATGCATCGCCGATGCGGCGCGATCCTCCGACCCCTTCTGCTCCGAGCACACCTAGAAGACCTTGAACCATGCAGGGTTAGAGGAACAAAAAAACACATAAACATAAGCTTGTGGAGCTCCGTGCGGATTTCCTCGATCCGCGCCGGACCCCCCTCCCCGGAGCGCGGAGCGCGCCAGGGGCGGCGCCAAAGGCGCCGCCGCGGGGGCCTAGCGCAGCGCAGATCCAAGAAATCCGCGCGGAGCGCCCAAAGTTTATGTTTACGCCGTTTGTTCTTCGAATCGGCGGCGAGCGAGCGGTGGAAATGAGAAGGAGAAGGCCTTCTCAGAAGGCTCGGAAGTCCTCTGGCCTTCTGAAAAGTTTTCTGACCCTTCCCCGAAAACACAGCAAACTTCTCAGACGGCGCGAGGGCTTCTGAGAAGACCCGCCGCCTTCTGAGAGGGCCTCCTCCTTCTCACCTTCCCCCCCTCGCTCGTCGCCGAATTTGCTTTCTCGGGAGGGCGCTCGCGCTCGGGACGATCCGGGCACCCCGGAACGCCCGCGGCGAGGCGCACTTGCTGGCAAGCCTCCCGAGGCCCGAAAACCACGGAGAAGGGCCGATAGCGCCTGAAAGAAAACCTCGAGAACCTCGAGCCCGACATTCCCCCCCCCCCGCTCGCCGCGGACACAGCGCACACGTCCGAGCGATGCCCCGAGAGTTCTTCCTCCTCGGGCCTCCGGCGGCGCCATGGGGCCGCGGCGCGCCGCGCGGGGCTGCAGCGGGCCGCCGAGGCACGACGCCCGCCCGCGCGGCGGGGCGCGCGCGGCCCGCGCGGGGGCAGCGCGAGGGGGCGAGCGGCGCCGAGGCCGGCAGCTCGCCCGAGCTGGCGCGAGGACGGGCGGCCGCGCCGCCCATCGCGGAGGAGGGCAACGATCGGGCGGGGGTCCGGAGGATGAGTATCGTTTCACAGATGCCCAGCCCCAGTGGCGTGGCCTGGGCCCCACTGGTGGCCGATTTACCCTCCCCCTAGATGGGGATCTGGGTCGTTCCCTGCAGGTTTCGAGGGGTGCATCCCAACTGGGGTGGTAATTTGGTGGGGCTCTTGAAAGGGATGGGGACGGGGATGGGGATCGGTTAAACGATACTGAGAGGAGGCAGCTGCTGGGAGGTCTTCGCCGGAAGGGCTACGGGGAGGCTTCAGCCCGAGGCTCCGTTGGGGGGGCTAAGCTGCGCCGGATCAGGCCGCGGACGAAGCGGGGAGCAGGCCGGATGCAGCGGGATCGAGCCGGAGGCCGGGTTTTGGACCGGGGCACAGTCAGAAGTTGACCTCCCGGGAGTTGCATCGGAAGGGGGGACTGGTTCTGTCGATGATCTTCAGAACGTGCGTCAGCGCCATCGCGTATTTCTGGGGCTGGTTCTGTCGATGGTCTTCAGAACGTGCGTCAGCGCCATCGCGTGTTTCTGTCCACCGAGGCTCTTCGATACGACGCAGGCGGCGCAGCGAGGGCCGACACACAGGCTGCGCGTGGTCGGCGGAACCGAACGGGACCAACACACGCTCGGGCTACGCACGTGTCCTGGGGATCATCGGATCTGTCGGGGGGGACGGAAGGGTAGAATGGCAAAGGGCAGGGCAGACAATGTGCTCACGCAGCTGGTTTCCTGGAGCCTCCTGGCGCCGGGAAGCGCCCATGTATCGAGGAATGGGCCTGGCGGCGGGGCGGAAACCAGCTGCATGCAGCAGGTTCCGTACCCCCCCCTTCCCTATCCTACCCTTTCGTGGGGCCCCGTCGGTTCTCAAAGGTTTTCCAGCGGCTGCGCCTCACCAGTCCAAAGGTGCCCAAATCGTCCAGAACGGCCGCCGGAAGCCCGAGTTTTGCCCCGAAATCCACCAGGGGGCCAACTGAGGGGGGGAAATGTGGACCTGCAATCGGCGATACATCGCAAATCGATCGGCGATAAACCCCCGATGGCGAAACCGGCCCCTACTGACGCGTACCCCACCCCCTATCGTTACCCCTGAGTGGAGGGCGAATTGAGCCAAAACGACTCTCTGGTTGAGCAGGGACCGTCCGTCCCAGCATTCCCGTAGGCCTACCACGACAGAACCTTCGAACCAAAGGACCTGGTACAGAAGAACATTTCTCAAACACCTGACACCATCCGCGGGCCAAACCACACAGAACATCCCAGGGTGCCGTCTCCAAGATGCACAATCACATCCAAAAGTCACTGAGAACATTCGGGTACCCTCCCCGAGCCGACCTCGATCTTATACCTCGGCCCGTCTGCATGCAAAACACAATCAACGCTCAAAACATCATTGGTGGGCTTACAGGAAAACCAAGACACTTCGTCACTGATTGACTCCAGGGCTCTGGGGCCCCGTCCATCGCCAGTTGCGCGAAAGAGTGATCCGTGGGACGCAGAAGGACACGCCAGCAGTGTGAGCCGAGCCCTCCTTGGATGAGCACGTTCGAGACAAACACATAGCTCGGTATCGCTCGGACGTCCATTCCCCGTGCAATCGTCGGTTTCGTGCGTATTTTTGTTGCCGCACGATGGCCCAAAACGCCCCCCGATGAGCCCTGCCGAGGAAAGAGAAAGCGCACGGCCGAGCGATGCCAAGATGGCGCAAACACGCTGCAAATACCGAGGGGGGCATGGCCAGAAAGCACCCGGCAACGAGCTGCGCACCGCGCGCGGAGGAGGAGGAGGAGGAGGAGGAGGAACAAATATGACAATATAATATAACCTAATATTAGATGAGACAGTATAAGACAGCGCTTTGAGAAAAAAGGTCGGACGGTGATCGCACCAAGGTCGGGCAAAGCTACTAAAGCTATGTCATATGAGAATTGGTTTCTTTGGTTATCACTCTCTCGGGTGGGGCAGCAATTCTCTGCTCATGCTGTGGGACGGTATCACTCGAAGAGAAGCCTCTGGGGACGGACGACACGCTCTGCGCATCCCTGGGGCCTGCGAGGGTCGCGCCAAGTCGATACAGGGGCATGGCTCTATCCAACCTTTTTTCCCGCATCTTGGGATTCGGCCCGATACACCGACGAAACGCGTTCAAAATCTCCAAGCCCTTAGGGGTGGGAGCCTGACAGTGCTTCGCCAGTTGAATCATCCGCCCCTGAATCCAGCCACCACACTTGAGGCATACAAAATGTTGCTCCTTAGCCTCGGTGCGCCCAGAACTCCCAAGAGGCCCCGATGAAACACCCGAGGCAGTCTTAAGAGTCGCACCCGGCACGGGGACGAGGGACCGCCCAGTGGGATCCGCGAGCAACTTGGCCATGGCCAACGGCGTACCCTGACGGCCATCGGCTGGGCGATCAGAAGACACACTAATTATCGAACAGTCAGAACATGGAACCCGGGCACGGCCCTATGCCACAAGTGGCAACTCTGCTTAGCTCGGGATCTCTGATGGGTCAGGGCTGCTGGTCAACGCAACCTCGTCTCATTCCGGAAGAGTGGCAGTGTCACACTGGCTAGCAAAACAAACATCCCAGCAAGCATATCCGCCTGTTCAACAGACTGCAAGAAGGCAGGAGTGGGGGAAGGGTGCGAAGCCAGGGCCAACTTAGCACCGTCATCCACAATAGTGCTGGCATGGTCGCAACAAAACCCATCGCCATGGAGCTGATTCAGCTCCTCATCTGAACGATGGGCCTTGGCATGGGGAACATTTGAATACTTGAAACCATCGAATGCAAAAATGGCAAATTTCCAAATTCCAGAAAGCTTGCCCTGAGCCTGACGATGTCTGGAATTCGGTCTCTGAATACACCGGATCACGCCAAGAAAATCGAGACCTAGCACGGTTGGACGGCCAACCACCTGACCGCAAATGGCTGCCGCGACATGCTCTGCAGCAGCTGGGCTCTGGGGAACATGGCCTGGGGCGTCGCCCCTCGCGACGGCCTCCATGTCCGCCGAGTCCGGCGGGAGGAAACCGACAGCTCAGGCAGCGCGACGGAACGGCCTAGGCTTCTGTTTGGTGGCCGAACCGTCGGCCGCGATCTCCAGCGGTCGACATCATTACCATGTCCATCGAACACTTCACAGGCACAGCTGGACGAAGGGGGAACGAGCTCAGTGTCATCGCGCGCAAAGGTACCACGCGCACGCAACGCATCATCGCCTTCGATGGCAAAGCGCAGGGACTCAGGCGGTTTATCTTCACGAGTTAAAGCACGAGCGGTCTGCGCATCTGGCCGATTGCAAGTGAAAACACGATGGTGCGGGGTACGAATTTGGCCGCACTCACAACGACCAGAGGTAAGGTACTCCGCAGCCTGAGCCCTCTTCTCGGTGCAATTCGCTTCACAAGCTGCACGTCTAAGCTGGTCCCTGACGAAGTCCAGGGTGGCACGATGCCCAGGAGGGAAACCAAGTGTTTTGCCCAACGCCAAATCAGCTTGCCCCTGGAGGCCAGCCTCAAGCAGCTCTTGCAGCATTCTAAGAGAAACCAAGCTGATTCCGATGCGGTTCTGAGGATGATCCATCCAAGAGCAGGACCCAGGAGCCGCCCGTTCTGCCCTCCTCAGGCACAGCACGACTCTGCTGAGCGGGCCTCGACTTATACGCCAGTCAACGACACTGCTCGCAGTTGCCTGTTCTCGTAACGAAAAGAAGGCAAGGGAACGTAGAAGGCCTCTCTCGGGCTCTACTTTTGGAGATCCATATCATCCCACTCCACTGCAAGGCAGGGCCGAAAGCCGCACAAACATCCCACTCTCCAAAAAGAACGAGCCTCTCACTTGCTGAAGTGCCTCCGTGCACGGGCGCCTGTCGCCTCGCTGGGGCTCTGCGTGCAGCCCGCCACTCGGGGGCCGGGCCGGCACGCGGGGCTCCTTGGAGGACTTGTGTTGTCTTCCTTTTGATCATCTTGCGGAGCTGGCCCATCTTCTTGGCCCTCCTACGCATGGCATTCAGACTACTACGCAGCTTGGGACGTGCACCGCTGGAGGCGCGCCGGGCACCTGCTTCACTGTCAACTCCTAAGCAGCTGGCGTCACCGCCCTGGCCTGCACCGCCAGCCCGCAACAGCGTCCTTAGCTAAATCGTCACATGACGCGACAACCACTACCTTATAATTGATCGGAGCACCTAGATTTCCACTGGCATCTTGAAAATCTTTCCCCGCCGCCACGGCCAAATCCAGAGCTCTCTGCCTTTCAGCCGCAGAGCTCTGAAATCCTGGGTCGTCGATGTACGGAATGAAACTGACGAGCGACGGCTGACGGGCAACGAACCCATCAAAATCACGAATCGCATGGATTTTGATTTATATGCATATAAACAAGAAGCGCTGTAGCAGTCACCTGCTGGCAAGCCTAGCTGCGCATGCGTGCGGGCGACGGAATGGTGCTGACGCGGCATCGGAGTGCCCGGGGCTTGCCAAAACACCGATCACTAGATTCAGCAGCGGTGTGGGCGCACGAAAGGAGAGGCACTTATCGCGCATACGAGTGAGATCAATCGTCTCGTAATACGTCCTATAGCCAGCCACTATCAGCACAGACAAGCGACGGTTCACACCATCGGTTTCGCTCCTCGCCGCTTGCGCCCAAGCACAATCCACCGCGCTCCGACCCCGAGAAGCCTCCCAATACCCGGGGTCCAAAACGCCCATCGCTCCCTTTAGCATGGGGCAACGGAGCCTTTGCCATACACGGTACATACTTGAATATGAAGCAATGAGCGTATAATGCTGGCAACATTGGCATTCACACCT